AATGACCACATAGCTTACCATCGCCCAAAGAGAATGACAATTATCCCAAATCGGTTTGCTCAACCCGAAAATGCTGTAAGCTGGGTGCGATTCTTCGGCAATCTGACGGACGAGCAGGCACATTGGATGTTTGAATGGTTTCCTAGTACTGAGTTCATCATCCGGTCAAAAGAGACTCCTCATCTAGTGCTGATCGGGTTGAGGGGAATTTATCCTTATGCTCCCATAAGGGTAATGAGACAAGCGGGAAGAAAACAGGTTATACCTCGGGTTTCCAACATGTTCCAGTATAAAGCAGATTTTAAAGGTGACGTTTTACCATTCAAGTTCGAGGCACGGCATATTTGGAATCAGAAGGTCACTGTAGAAAAGGATACTATTGAGCTGGATAGATATCACGCTGGTCATGTGTACTTTTACCCATCATGGCTAGTGGATGATATAGCAGGAGACGTCAAGCCAGGAATTAATCTGAAAAATAGGATCATAGATGACGCTGCTGAAGCACAAGTTAAGTACAGGAGGTTACGCAAAAGAGTCTTTGAATCTGAAGCTATGCATCTTGAGCAACACAAATTGAATATGGAAGCAATCAACGAATGGAAGGAAATTGCCACCAAGTCAACAGAAAGACTGGAATATATGGAGCAAGGGTTGATGGAACTTGAAGGGAAAATGAGGAAAAGGATTGCAGGCTGTCAAAACATGGATGGGAATGAAGGAGGGCTCCTAGAAAAGGCTTATCTATTGCTGGATATGCGCGACTTGGGAAATCTGATCGATTGAGTCAAAAGAACCAAGCACGGGAAAGGTCCCAGTTGCGCCTATGCTGAAAGGTTGTGTATGTAAGTCAGTAGTGTTCGTTGTCTTCACTTACCTCTTAGAGAAGAATTAGCAAACAACAATTGATCAAGACTTAGAAGACTTTTCAACTGTGAATCAAGATTAGAAAACGTGCAATAGTCTTTATTCAATGGATCAAACAAATGTCGATATCTCTTCAGGTAAACTTGGATCAAAGTTCAATTGTAAAAATATTTGTTTAATTGATTCATGTACGACACATACAATATTCAAAGAGAAGAAATATTTCTCTCATTTAAGTATGTGTAAGGCAGATGTTACTACAATTTCTGGTAGTAGTAATTTAATTGAAGGCTCTGGAAGAGCTACTATAACTCTGCCTAAGGGAACAATACTTATCATAGAGAATGCAATGTTCTCCTCCAAGTCCAAGAGGAACTTGTTGAGTTTTAAAGATATCCGCCGAAATGGATATCATATTGAGACAATAGATGAGAATAATCTTGAATATCTCATCATTACCAAAAATGTCTCTGGCCAGAAAAGGGCTATTGAGAAGTTCCCATCTTTGTCTTGTGGCCTGTATTGGACAAGAATTAGTGCAATTGAGGCACATTCTATTGTAAACCAAAAGGTTACCGATTCCAATACTTTTGTACTTTGGCATGATCGATTGGGACACCCTGGATCAATTATGATGAGACGAATTATAGAAAACTCAAATGGGCATCCATTAAAGAATTTAAAGATTCTTTTAAATGATGAATTTTCTTGCACTTCTTGTTATCAAGGCAAGTTAATTATTAGACCATCACCAACAAAGGTTGGAATTGAGTCCCCTGTGTTTTTGAAACGTATACAAGGGGACATTTGTGGACCTATTCACCCACCTAGTGGGTCGTTTAGATATTTTATGTTCTTAATAGACGCATCTTCTAGATGGTCCCATGTGTGCCTATTGTCATCTCGCAACCTCGAGTTTGCAAAATTAATGGCACAAATAATTCGATTACGGGTACAATTTTTCGATAATCCAATTAAGTCTATTAGACTCGATAATGCTGTTGAGTTTTCATCCCAAGCATTTAATGATTATTGCTTATCAATTGGGATAAAAGTGGAACATCCTGTAGCTCATGTTCACACTCAAAATGGCCTTGCGGAGTCTTTAATTAAACGTCTGCAATTGATAGCAAGACCGTTACTCATGAAAACGAGGTTACCCACTTCTGTTTGGGGTCACGCCATTTTGCATGCAGCAATGCTAGTTCGTCTCAGGCCGACAAATTATCATAAATATTCCCCGTTGCAATTAGTTTTGGGTCATGAACCTAATATATCCCATTTAAGAATTTTTGGATGCGCGGTATATGTGCCTGTAGCACCACCACATCGCACCAAAATGGGTCCACAAAGAAGGTTAGGAATATATGTTGGTTTTGAATCGCCCTCCATTATTCGCTACCTCGAAACATTGACGGGGGATTTGTTTGCTGCACGATTTGCAGACTGACGATTCGATGAGACACTCTTCCCAAAATTAGGGGGAGAAGTTGGTGAAACCAAACGGGAAATTTTGTGGAAAAATCCATCATTATCTCATCTTGATCCACATGCCTCTATTTGTGAAAAAGAGGTGCAAAAGATTATTCATTTGCAGAGAATAGCAAATCAAATGCCAGATGCATTTACGGATATGAAAAGGATAACAAAATCACATATCCCTGCGGAGAATGTTCCAATCCGTATTGATGTCCCTATTGGACAATCTTCTAGTGTCATAGCTAACGAGTCAAAAGCACGCCTGAAACGTGGCAGACCATTAGGTTCCAAAGATCGAAATCCTAGAAAAAGGAAAATAAATGATCAAAATGACACTACGAAAGAATCTCATGAAGAAATCCACAATTTAATAAATTCTGAGATTCATGAGGAATCCACTGAGCCCGAGACTCAAGAAAATAAGGAACTATCAATAAATCCAATCGATATTGAGACAAATTTAAATCGAGTGGATATAGTGGTGGATTATGTCTTTGCATATAATGTTGCATCTAGCATTATGCAAGAAAATGAGGATCTTGAACCTCAGTCTGTTGGAGAATGTCGACAAAGACGTGATTGACCAAAATGGCAAGAAGCAATCCAATCAGAGTTGAACTCACTTGCGAAACGTGAAGTTTTTGGGCCTGTAGTCCAAACACCTAATGGTGTTAAGCCTGTTGGCTATAAATGGGTCTTTGTACGCAAGAGAAATGAGAAAAACGAGGTACAAAGATATAAGGCACGCCTTGTTGCACAAGGATTTTCACAAAGGCCTGGTGTCGATTATGAAGAGACATATTCACCCGTTATGGATGCTATAACGTTCCGTTATCTCATTAGTTTTGCTGTCCATGAAAAGCTTGACATGCATTTAATAGATGTGGTTACCGCCTACCTTTATGGCTCACTTGATAATGAGATATACATGAAAATTCCCGAGGGATTCAAAATGCCTAACGCACATAATTCAAAGTCCCGGGAAATGTTTTCAATCAAATTGCAAAGATCTTTGTATGGTCTAAAGCAATCAGGACGAATGTGGTATAATCGTCTTAGTGAGTATTTATTAAAGGAAGGCTATATAAATGATGCCATTTGCCCATGTGTTTTTATAAAGAAAACAACATCGGAATTTGTTGTACTTGCCGTATATGTTGATGACATAAACCTTATTGGAACTCCTATAGAACTCCAAAAGGCAATTGATTATTTAAAGAAGGAATTCGAGATGAAAGATCTCGGAAAGACAAAATTATGTCTTGGTTTGCAAATTGAACATTTGGCAAACGGAATTTTTGTTCATCAATCTACCTACATAGAAAAGGTACTGAAACGGTTTTACATGGATGGAGCACATCCATTAAGTACTCCGATGGTTGTTCGATCACTTGATGTGAATAAGGATCCATTCCGACCTCAAGAAGAGAATGAAGAGCTACTTGGTCCTGAAGTACCATATCTTAGTGCAATTGGTGCACTAATGTATCTTGCCAATACTACAAGGCCTGACATAACTTTCAGTTAATGTCTTAGCAAGATATAGCTCTGCTCCCACAAGGAGACATTGGAATGGAATCAAACACATATTGCGGTATCTAAAAGGGACTACCGATATGGGCTTATTTTATGGCAACAATTGCAGTCCCGATCTTGTTGGTTATGCTGATGCTGGATATTTATCTGACCCACACAAGGCTCGGTCTCAAACAGGTTATGTATTTACCTGTGGAGGCACTGCCATATCTTGGCGATCGACTAAGCAATCAATTGTGGCTACTTCATCTAATCATGCTGAGATAATTGCTATTCATGAAGCAAGTCGAGAATGTGTGTGGTTGAGGTCTATAATACATCTTATTCGAGACAAATGTGGTGTGAAATGTGACAAACTACCCACGATTTTGTATGAAGACAATGCAGCATGCATAGCTCAATTGAAGGGAGGATTCATAAAAGGAGATAGAACAAAGCATATTTCACCAAAGCTATTTTTCACACATGATCTTCAAAAGAATGGTAATATTAATGTGCAACAGATTCGTTCAAGTGATAATATGGCTGATTTGTTCACAAAATCTCTACCGACGTGAACCTTCAAGAAGCTAGTTTACAAGATCGGGATGCGAAGGCTCAAGGATGTGAATTGATGCTCTCATCAGGGGGAGTTAATGCGCATTGCACTCTTTTTCCCTTACAAAGTTTTGTCCCACTGGGTTTTCTTTGCAAGGTTTTTAACGAGGCAACCAATAGGCGCATTTCTAAATATGTGTACTCTTTTTCCTTTTCTAGAATTTTTTCCCATTGGGTTTTCTTTTAGTTAAGTTTTTAACGAGACACATTATCTGTTGAATAGACATTCAGGGGGAGTGTTATAAATAGAATTCTATTTATGGTGAATGTCCATATTTAGGGAGATTCTAGGGTTTATTACTTGGTGGCTAAGTCAACCTCTCCCTATAAATAGAGGGTTCTATTCCATTGTAAATCATCTCAAATCAATAAGAATTCTCTCTCTACTTTTCTCTGCAATATTGTTCTTGTTCTTTTATTATTTTATAACAAGTACCTTTTAATTGCTTTGTAGATGGAGAGCATACACTAATTTTGCAAAGTATTAATAACAAGATTTTTCAAATTTTGCTATGTGAGAATCTAAAAATTGATCCATATCAATTATCCTTCATGTAAGCATTCTATAAATAGCAGTTTTAGGATTCAAGATCTCAATCAAGATAGAGAGAGATATACACAGAGAATAAAAAGGAAAACGAAGAATAAATGAGGTTCTACCGTTTCTTCTTGAGTGAAATATCAACTCCATATTGAGGCTCAATAACAATACCAAGTTTAGGGGAGTGAACATAACTTGGTGAAAGCCTAAACGTGAATTTAGACACAATAAGGGAGATCAATACTTTCAACTCAGCCAAAGCCAAAGGTTGTCCAGCACAAACTCTAGGACCAATTCCAAAAGGCATAAAAACATGTGGAACTTTGCAAGAATTTGATATTCCATTTGCAAATCTTTCTGGATTAAATTCATAGCTATTTGGTCCCCAAATTTCTGGATCAGTGTGTAATGCCATTACCATTGTCCAAGCATTCATACCCTTTGGAATTTTCACATTTCCAAATTTCATGTCCTTAAATGCCTCCCTAGCTAGTATTGGCACAGTTGAGTAAAGGCGTAATGATTCATTAATCACCATTGTCAACTGCAAATCAAAATAAAAATTACTGTTAAAACTTGAAGAACTAACCTAAATAGCTGCTCACCTAACCGCTTAAACTAAAAATAGCTGACAGATGTATATCATATGTATAATATGTATATAGTCGTCTATAATTGGTGTATAATTTATATATATTGACTTCGAAACGTAAACAGTGAATCCGACTAGCTATTTCTGTAAAGATCCCTTACAACTTTATCCTATTTCCGAGCTCTATCACTCTTTATGGGATGGTGGTGGTAACCATAGTCAAATATACTTTATCCTTACTAGAAGACGAGTACATGCAAGGATTGTAAGGTTATTCTAGGAGAAGCGATGACCACCCAGCATAGGTTCCTACTCTTAGATATAAAGCTTAAGAGTAGAGTGAGAAAGGAGATAACTTGAAAACCACCTAATATTAGGTGATGAGTGTTAAAGGGCGCTTACCAATCAACATTTCAAGAAAAGGTACAGAAGAAAGGAGACTTGAGATTTAGAGGGAGACATAGACATCCTGTAGAAGAAAATATCAGGTTGCATTAAAGAAGATGTCTAAAGGTCTAGGACCTCGGCCACAAGAATCTTGATGGTGGAATGAGGAAGTATAAAGATTTATTAAAGCTAAAAAAGAATACTATAGGAAGTTGTTAAAAGCAAAAGATGGAGAAGCTTTTGAAGAATATAAGAGAGCTAAGAAAGAAGCTAACAAGGTGATTAGTAAAGCTAGAGGGAAAACTCTAGATGGATTGTACCAAAATCTAGAAACAAAAGCAGGGAAAAAAGAATTTTTTAAACTAGCACGACTAATAGAGAAGAAAGGCAACAAGTGTTTACCGGAGATAAAAAGATCAAGGAGAGATGAAAAGAATATTTTGATCAATTGTTCAACTCAAACCAAGAGGATAGCATTTTAGACCTTCAGGCGTCTATGCATGATAGAAACTTTAGCTATACCCGTAGAATTATGACGATAGAAGTAAAAGATGCTATGAAAAATATAAAGGTTAAAAAGGCTTGTGGTACAGATAGTGTCCCTATAGAAGTTTAGAAGTGTCTTGGAAAGGTTGGAGTAGAATAGCTCACCAAGCTATTTAATGCCATACTAAGAAGTGGTAGGATATCCGAAGACCGGAGGAAGAGTACCTTTGATTCTAATCTTTAAGAACAAAGGAGATATTCAAAGTTATGAGAACTATCATGACATTAAACTCTTGAATCATACAATTAAACTCTGGAAAAGAGCGATAGAGCGTAAACTTAGGAACACGACAAGAGTGACAAAGAATCAGTTTGTGTTTATACCCGGTAGATCCACAATGGAGGCTATATTCTTGCTAAAAAAATAATAAAAATTTATTGCGAAAGGAAGAAAGATCTGCACATGGTGTTTATTGACCTACAGGAAGCATATGATAGAGTACCTGGGAAGGTTCTTTGGTGGGTAATAGAGAAGAAAGAAATTCATATTAAATATATAAATATCATAAAGAACATGTACAAAAGAGCTGTTACTAGCGTAAAAATAATAGTAGGAGATATAAAGGAGTTTCCCATAATAGTGGATCTACACCAGGGTTATTCAATGAGCCCCTACTTATTTACCGTAGCTATAATTGAGCTAACCAACAAAGTACAAGATGAGGTCTATGGTGTATGCTATTTGCTGATGATGTTGTACTAATTGATAAAACTAGCGAGGGTTTCAACCAAAAGCTTGAACAATGAAGAAGAGTAAGACTGAATACATGCACGCAAGTCTAGTCAGTATAAGAAGAGTGAAGATGAGGTGAGACTGGATAGAATTGTGGTGCCAAAATACAAATAATTTAGATATTTAGGCTCGTTATTTCAAGAGATTGGAATGATAAACGAAGATGTTACTCAAAGAATTAAAACTGGACGATTGAAATAGAGAAGTGTTACCAGGGTATTATGTGATAGAAGGATGCCGACCAAGGTAAAAGATAAGTTCTAGAGAACAACTATAATATCAGCTACATTATGTGGTAGTGGATATTTGGTGGCTAAAATTTACATGTCCATAAAATAAGTGTTGCAGAAATGCGAATGCTACCGATCCAGCATCAAAGGTAGCATTTATTGTTATTTTCTTATTTTCTATGACATATACTGAGTTATTTTTTCATTATAAAGAATTAGTTGTTTGACTTTAGTGAAATAAACTGAAATTTAGATGACTATTTGTGAAATTAACCCTGGGACGGGGATAGTAACTAATTAAAAGACAGATAATATGAACCGGAGAAAGTAAAATTTACCAGTTTCATCTGTCGAATCATATCAGAATCTGGGATTTGACCATTGCAAATTTCTTGAACTTCAGCACGTACTTTTTCTTGCCAATTGGGATATGCAGCTAATAACATAAGACACCAAGTTGCAGAAACAGCAGTAGTCTCAAATCCAGCCAAATAAATATTCTTGCAATTATCAACAATGAATTGATCAATTTCATCTGAATTTAAATTGCTATTTTCTGCCCCTTCAAGAATTGTTTGTAACAGATCCTTCTCATATCCAGTTTTCTTCCTTTCTTTGACTAATTTCAAGATTAATGTGCGAGTTTCCTTTTCTAATCCCCACATTTCTCTATTGCTTTTTGTTGGTAAATACCTATGAGTTTCAAGAACGTATTTAGAAGAGTTCAAGTTTTATAAACAACAACAACAAACCAAATGTAATCCCACAAGTGGGGTCTGGAGAGGATAGTGTGTATGCAGACTTTAGCTTTGTGAAGGTAGAGAGGCTGTTTCCGATAGAAAATACAATCCAAGTTTTATAAACGATATAAAAAATACAATCAAAGTTACATACAAGGTAATAGAGATATACAATAAGCATTAAGTCATAAACAGAAGCAGATTTAAAATTTAAACTTTATGGGTTTAACATTTAAGACTCTTAAAAGCTCAGGGCGGAGCTAGAGTATCCCGAGCGGGTTCGGCCTAACCCAGTAGTTTTGGTTCGAACCTTGTCTTTGTCTTAAAAAATTCATGAATATATATAAATTATTAATTCAGAACCTAGTAGCTTAACACGACTAGAATTCCGAACCCATAAACTTGAAATCCTGGCTCCGCCTCTGCTAACGCTAAACCCATTATAGACGGATCCAAGATTTAAACTTTATGGATTCAACATTTAAGACTCTTAACATTGAACCCATTATACTTTTGAAATTATGGGTTCTGACCTACCAGCTATTGCAATTTTAATGAATTTGTACACATAAATTATGCTATGCGTTGAAAGTTACGAGTTCAGATGAATCCGACACCACTACATCCGCCCCTGGTCATAAACTAGCAAAAATGTTACCTAACTTATTATCACACCTTAAATAATGTTGATAGTATTAGAAAGTATTTTTATTTTACTTATTGTATATAATTAAGGGAGTGTTTGTTATGATTGACGTTATTTTCAATATTTTTGAAATATGACTTACTTTTTGGAAAATGCAATTCGGTCTTTGGTTGGAGAGTGCAAAATATTTTCCCAAGAAGATATTTTGGGAACAACTTTAATACTCCTTTTGTCTCAAATTATCTGTCATTTCTAAAAATAGTTATCTCAAATTATTTATCATTTTAGAAGTTCAAGAAACAATTAAGTATTTTTTTTCATTTTACCTTAATAGTAATTGTTCTTGAAGATGGAGATGACATACAAATAGAATAATATCTTAAGACATAAATAAGGGTGAAATTCAAATATAGCCAGATTTACAAGTGGTAATTGAAAAATAGCTACAGTTTCAAAAGTAATCGAAATTTAGCCACTTTTCATGTAAAGATAAATCTGAACGAAAATACTGTTCAAAATCCGGAAAATATTCCACCATAATATACTGGAGTTCCAGCATAATATGCTGGAAGTTCATACACAGGTGCTCCAGTCACCAGTATATTATGCTGGAACTTTCTTTGTGCTGGAGTTCCAACATAATATGCTGGAAGTTCATACACAGGTGCACCAATCTCCAGTATATTATATTGGAATGATCCGTGTTGCAGCAAAATAATTGCTATTTTTCAATCACCAGTTCCAAAACTAGCTAGCCCGTGCTATTTTTACCATAAATAAAGATAAAATAGACAAAACGCCCTTCTAATTAATGTTTCTTAAGAGCCGTAAAATAGAAACACGAAAAAATAATTTGAGATGGAGGGAATAGTGTTTTGATGAAACGTTTTAAAATTAAATATTGATATAATGTCTAATTGTCGGTTAAAGTCGTGATAAAGAATTGAGATAATTGTGAAGGAAAATGAATTTTTTTTTTCTTTCTAAAAGTGAGGTCATTTTCCGCCTTTTTGGTGAAAAATATTTTCAACAACCAAACACCAAAAAGTAATAAAAAAATTATGTAAAAACGAGAGATACCTCATGCCAGGAATTCCAGAAAATAGAAATCTTTTGGTACAAACTTCTTCAAGAGCACGAAGCCTAGTGAAAATCTCTTCTCCTTCTAAATAATTACTACCAAAACATGCCTTTGATATCACATCTCCAGAGAAATTTCTTAAATATGGATCAATTTTGATGTCAATAATGTCTCCTTCAGCTTCAATTTTCTTTTTCCATGATTTCACGAGGGATAATGCAGATTCTTGAATTAAATTTGTCATTCCCTGCAGCAAATATTTAGTGAGAATTGTAATAAACAACGAGTTAATTCAATGTCTATGCAGGGCAATAGTTAGCTAGGAGAGGTACGCCAACAGCGAGCAGAAGCAAGGTTATTAGATATTTCAGGAAAGTTCGGCCAGAACCACACGTGCAAGTTTCCTTGAATCTGGTTTGTCCGTGATAACTTCTTAAGATTACGTGAAAGAGCGAACCTTTTTTATATAATCAAGTTAAATTAATTGTTATAGCAAGGTTACAGGCTACAAACAGGTTAAAATATTGTAGTAGTGTTAAAAAAATTGCATCATTAGTGTACATAAGTTAAATTCTAAAGGCAATTATCCCTAATTAATAGAATTGGTAACCTGAAACTTCAAGATAAGTAAATAACCTTCTATAGCATGTTAAATTGTATTGGTTTATGTAAAACTAATTTACACGACTAGTGGTTATAAGATAGGATTAACATGTAAACTCTACATATCAAGTCTTATATGGTAATTTATACATAAAGTAACAATTTGTTAATTATATTGATAGTTATAATTCTCACTTATAACAAAGATGACTCCCCCATATAACTAGGGGCGGTTTGTATTAGAAAATTCATTAAATAGGTATTAATATTTAGTTGTGAATCAGTAACTAAGACGAGCTATTAGTTCAGCAGTAAATTTTAAAATCCAAAAATATGGTACCTCGCCCCCAACCACACAACCCACCAAAAAGAAAGTGAAGAAGAATTACCTTAAATAGCCGCCCACTCAATCGCTTAAATTAAAAATAACCGACGAATATATAATATATGTTATTGACTAAAACAAATAAACAATGAATCCGACCGATTATTCGTGTAAACATCACCCCAACCAAACAACAACAAAAAAGAGGACAAAAATTGGACATATTGTACCTTAACCTTGTCCATATAAAATTCAGGTGCAATGACTTTCCTTTGATATGCCCAATGATTTCCATTTGCTGTAATAATGCCAGTACCAAGTAAAGAACCACGCTCTTTCACTTGATATGTTGGTTTTCCCCAATCTAGTGATGTGCACATTGTTGTCTCTTTAATCAACTCCACTTGTGTCACATTTAATATTTGTGTATTTCCTAGAGAAAACATGAATACTTTTCCTGCACAAATTAGAATAAAAAATTAGAATAAAAAAATACTCTCTCCGGTCCACAATAAGTGATCAATTTACTTTTTTATTTTGGTCCAAAATAAGTGTTCATTTATATAACCAAGAAACAATTCAATTTGTTTTTCCAAAATTACCCTCATGTACGTATCCCTAAAAAGTCTTTTACTCCTCACATTAACTATGCTTCAATATTTAATTAAGGGTAGTTTAGTCATACTAACTACTTTTGTCTAGAATTTAGTATTTCCTTAATGGGTGTGCCCAAAGCAAATTGATCACTTATTGTGGACATGAGGGAGTATAAGAATGCCACAAATTAAACTAGCAACCCAAATCAATGTTTTTTCCATCTTTCTTGGTCAGTGGCAGAGCCAAAAATTTTGCAAAGAGTGTTCAAAATTTAATATATAATTATAAAAAATAATTTTTGACTTATATACATAATATAATTTTCTGTATACTCAGTATAATTTTTCGATAAAATGTGTTCAATTAAATACCCTTCACTCTATGTGGCTATGCCGCTGTTTCCCATGATGGAAAAACTTCTCTTATGTCATGGGGGTTCGACAATTTACATATGTATGAAATAAATTATTTTTGCCAATTTATATGGTATAATTTTTCGACAAAGAGATCCTATTGTTCTCCATTCAAACCATAAAGTTGTGCGTTGTCAGTATCGATTTTTTACACCAACTCATACTAATTATCATGGTTAAGTGATAAATTAAGATAAGATGTTAATTAGAATTTATTGATTACCATGTTTTGTGAATACATGTGTCATGTATTTATTGGATTGGTATAAACACGACGACGCTATGAGTAGATCCTGGAAAAATGAAAAGCAAAGAAAAGGAAGGTGGATGATGCATACCATATTTTTTCTGCCATTCCTCAATGAAAGGCAAGACAGAATTGATACAATTATGGTTTGCAGGAACTTGACCACACATATATGATTTCTTTTTGGCATTTTTTCTGTATTTCATAATCTGCAAAGTATTTCCAAAAAGAATGGTGGGTGAAGGGCCATTTATGCCTTGTTTTCTCATAATAGACCTAAGTTTTTCTGGTTTAGTCACTAATGCATTATATGCATACAACACTAGTCCCAAAAACCAAACCAAAAGCAAAGATGCAACAATTTTCATGACTTGATAAATTTCCATTCTTAGAGTTTTTTCACCTCTTTTCTCTTGTTTCAATTGATATGTTTGTGTAGGATTTTATAGTGTTGGAGAGTCACCAAATGTGGAAATCTAAAACTAGATTATTGGAATAAAGTTAGTTAGAGGGATATGTTTTTTTTTTTTTTTTTTTTTTATATTTTTGTATGAGTTAAAAATTAATTTGGATAAATAATTATTCCATGTTGAATAAGAGCAATGGCAGATCCAATCATGAGTTTGCGGGTCCGGCAGAATGTAGTACTTTGAGATTGAACTCTTGTATATAAGTGAAAAATAAATATAGGTAAAGTTAGATATACACTTCCGAATTCACTCTTTAAACGCGAAATCACAGCGTTCTCGATCGTAGGCCTATGCCTTTCAAATTTAGTAGCAAGATTTGGTAAGCCTTGAATTTTTTTTTTTTTTTTTTTTGGTAACTAATTTAGTTTTGATATAAAGATTTCGAGATTGTTATTACTACCAAATTATAATTTTTAGGAGCATATTTAGATATTCATATTATAAATGAGTGGTTGAGTGTAATCAAATTGCATTTGTTGAATTTTTTTAAGTGATAAAACAATATGGTAAGTTTGATTTACAAAAGGTTCCATATTATTTAAACCAACAAAATAGGTATACTTATCATATCATATGTCAACCAAAAAAGGGATATACACATCATATCATCCACAATATGAATAAGTGATCAAACCATTTTAATAAATTTAATCTAATTAAAAAAATTCCTTATGAACTTTGAAATTACCTATGAAATTCGAAAATCATGATAAGAATGGTTAGGTAATTGTATTACTTCCAAGCGAAAAGTCAGCATACTTTAAAAGTTGATGGAGTGATAAAAATGCTTAGTGACTTTACAATTGTTATAGTAAGTAAAGTTTAGTTATTAATATTATGTTGGCAGTGATATGGGATAATTATATTGTTTGATCCAAGAATATGCTCTTTAAGATCAAGTTTGTACCTGTATTATCGACGATTATTAAAAGAATTTAAGTTTTATGCATCGCATGGCATAACAAATATTTATATAATTATGTCATGAGATAACTGTATAGAATTTTCGATGATAAATATTAATTGGTAACCATATAAAAATGCATCTAATTAAAATGCTATTACATGTTATAAATGAGTTAATTACTTAAATGATTATTCAAATTATTAAAATAAGGCAATGAAGTCACTTTTGTATCATTTTGTTACGATATAATCACAATGTCGTATTATCCAGAAAATTAACTCTACCCGAAAATCTACCTTTCTCTCACCGAATTTATTCATGACATGACATATCATCTTAAAGGCTAAGTTAGAGCTTAATTTCCCAAAAAGAATTAAACTAAATAGCGTTCATCCAACTGCTTAAATTAAAATAGCCAACGGATATGCAATCTACATATAATTCATACGTAATATGTGTACAATATTATCTTGTATCGGTATATACAATAACAGTATATTCCTACATATGAGGTCTGGGAGAGTAGCGAATACGCAGACCTTATCCCTACCTTGTGTGAAGTAGAGAGATTGTTTCCGATCTGATATACCCTCGGCTAAAGAAATATTTCTAAGCATGTTTAAAAAAGAAAATTGTAGTGAAGAAGCTATATTGAAAATAATGAAGACAAGAATAATAACAACAACAAAATAACAAAGCAATAAGGTAACCGAAGGAAAGAAAACAACATGTAGTAATATAAGTCGAGGGATAAGTGCATAGGTCAAAATTTATTTCTAAAATGCTTAAGTCATGATAGCATTAGCGAGACATTCATAGGCCGCCATGTGTCGAAGTGTTTCAAGGAACAATGAAGGTTGCGGTAGAAGAGTCAGCAAGGATTAAAGTCGAGGAGTCATCAAAGATCGAGGTCGAGGTCGAATACCCTTGACAGAGTTATAACGGCTAGTTTCAATATAGGACATTAAAGAGAATATTCTAGTGGATATTCTCTACACTTATACTATTAGGGTTTCCAGGAACATGTTCCCTATAAATAGAAAGAGACATAATGATAAGGGACATGAGATATTCATTTGTAAAGGACACATTGACTTTGTAAGAGAGAATCGGTCTTATCGCATATATACAAAAATAACCTTTTTGCCAAGATTCTTGCATAGCACTCCCACTGGATCTAAGAACAACTCAAATGTTCAAAGGCTTATCAATCATTCATCATTGTCAGAAAGAATATCCCTGATCTTATCCCTTTTTTATTATTTATTGCTATTGAATGCCATACTTCACCTTTTTGGATAATTGAATATCGTTATTATTACTTATACTCATTGCCGGATAAATATACTAGTTATTTTCCACGGTCCCGACAACTTTATCTTTGGGATATTATTTTTAACTAAGATTAACTCTCCTTCATTTAAATATAATTGGTTGAACTAAGATCGGTATTTTTGGTCAAACAGTTTGGCGCCGTTTGTGGGGATTTCTTAGCAATTATTTAATTTCCTTTAGATCTACAGGTAACGTGAGTCACTAACTTCACAAACCCGTTTTCCTCTTTCTTTGCACGAACAAAAACCTACATGGTAGGTAACTAAGGAGAAAGGACTAAAGTAACAGGTGATTTCCCTAGCAACCTCATGAATTCTATCAACAAGAGCTGTGAGACACTAGGCGAGAACGTGACACCCACTGTCTCCCCTAAGCGTGAGAGGTCGGCTCCTCCTCCTCCCCATTATAGTGTAACAAAAACCAATGGAAAGGGCGCCTCCACATCCACAGTAGAAGTGATGCCATCGGTCGTGAAAAAGTTCCTCGGAGCATGCTGGCCGATACGCTAGTAAGCGTGCTCAACAAGCCCACTCCATGCACAACTACAAAGACCGCAAGATCCTGCGCAGTACAACGAGCAGACGAACAGAACAACTGAGTAGACCATCCAACACCATGTATAACTCACATATTACTAACAGTGCAGGTGATAGTGCCCTCGTTGTTGTCCAAAAGAGGATAGAGGAAATGGAGAATGAAAATAAAGCACTCAGGGCCCAAATGAAAGAACACCAAGAACGAGACGACAAGATACCGAGCGCTCCTAAACTATTTCCAAAGAGGGACGCCGGCAGGTTCGTAGAACAGTCGTACAGTGAAGATGCAGCCCTGTATGCCATACCAAAGACCTTCAAAATGCCGCCCTACCTCAGGATATACGACGAAACGACCGATCTCGAAGACCGTGTTACTCATTACGTCACCGCCGTGAAAGACAATGACCTCACCAAGGAACACGTGTACTCTATTTTACTGAAGAAGTTTGGCGAAACCCTCACAGGAGGGGCATTAACATGGTACTCACAGCTACCAGCCCACTCCATAGAAACTTTCGAGGAAATGGACGATAAGTTCGTAATGGCACATGCTGGAGCCAAGAAGGCCAAAACAAGGGTAAATGATATATTCGCCATCAAGCAGTCCTTGGGAGAAGGACTGAGGGATTTCCTCGCCCGATTCAACAGGGTAAGGATGACTTTGTCGAACGTGTCCGAGGGGATGGCGGTCGCGGCCTTTCAAAATGGTTTGAGTAGAGATGGTTTGAGAGCAACTAGAAAATTGTTGAGCCGATTGATGAAATATCCTCCAACCACTTGGGACGAGATCCATAATGCTTACTGTGTTGAAGTCCGAGCATATGAGGAAGACCTCAACGGACCAACCCATCAGCTCATCTCGGTACAAGCCGAGTCCAGAAAAGAATGAAGAGACAACATCAGGAGGGATCACCCGATCTCAAGACCCAATAGGGAACGACACCAGCTATATGTCAGGGCCCACGCCCCACCTTCCCTTCGCTACAAAGAAGGCCCATCCAGGCCGAGGACAAGGACTCACCGGAACGAGAGAGGTATGCCCCCCTTATTATCTGCTCACAATTTTTGCATATCACCTGCAGAAATAGTCTATGCTCTGGAGAAACTTGGAACGAAGGTAAAGTGGCCGCCAAAGATGAGGTCTGATCCGAGCACCAGAAAATCTGACGCCCTCTGTAAGTTCCACCAGGAACACGGGCATAAAATAGAATATTGCATCGCCCTCAGACAAAAAGTTGTAAACATGTTGTGGTAGGGACACCTCAAAGAGCTGCTAAGCGACAAGGGGAGAAATAACTTCGCCAAAGGACATGAACACCAAGGTCAGCGGAAGCCGCCATCACCAGCTCGTACTATCAACATGATTATCGGCGGCAGCGACGACGCCTCTATCAACGACGTTAAATTCATCATCACTCATAAGCTAAGCGATCTATCACCCGCAAACGGTATGACAAACTCGAAGAAAGTATCATCTTTGATGAGTCAGACGCTAATGGTTTGACTTTCCCTCATAATGATACCATTGTCATTACTTTACACATTTTAGATACTGATTTCAAACGTATCATGGTGGACGATGGAAGCGGAGCATGCATTATCCATCCCCGAGTCCTCACCCAAATGAGACTCGAGGACAAGATAGTGTCGCGCTGCATCACGCTAACTGGTTTTAATAATACAAATGAGCGAACAACAGAAGAAATTACACTTCCCGTCTTGGCCGGCAGCATGACGCTGGAGACGACATTCCACAACATGGACCATGCCACCGAGTACAATGCCATAGTAGGATGACTATGGATACATCCCATGAGAGCCATCCCCTCCAGGCTATATCAAGTAATCAAATTCCCAACACCTTGGGGGATATTCAGCATACGTGGAGAACAATATACATCTCGGGAGTACTATCGCATCTCCTTAGACAGCACGACAACCCAACAGAAAAAAGACAAGGAAAAATAGGCATATCAATCAGCAGGGTCGAGGTCGACACAAGAAGAGACCAGAGACGTCATCATGAATCCCGAAATGGTAGAAGCTGCGGACTCGACCGTAGAGGACCTCGACCCCATTCAATTGGACCCCAGCGATAGTAACAAAAAGGCCTACATCGGTTGTAAACTCCAAAAAAT